CCCCCTTTCCTCTTGTCCCGTCCACTATTTATTTCATTACTCTCTCCTCTACCTGCCAACTACTTTAGTTTTTCCACCAATTTTCCCCGATGTGCTTGACGGCTCTCTCTTTCTCTCTCTCTCTCTCTCTCTCTCTTTCTCTCTCGCTCTCTCTCTCTCTCTCTCCCTCTCTCGCTCTCTCTTGCTATCCCATTCTTTCTTCCCGACTTCCCTCTCACCCCCTTTCCTCTTGTCCCGTCCACTATTTATTTCATTACTCTCTCCTCTACCTGCCAACTACTTTAGTTTTTCCACCAATTTTCCCCGATGTGCTTGACGGCTCTCTCTCTCTCTCTCTCTCTCTCTCTCTCTCTCTCTCTCTCTCTTTCTCTCTCGCTCTCTCTCTCTCTCTCTCTCTCGCCTCTCTCTCATTCTTCCCCCTCTCTCTCTCGCTCTCCCTTTCCTTCTCTCTATGCCAGGGGTAGGTGTGTCTCTGTCGGCCATTGCCTTGTCTTCTGTTTCATTTCTCTCCTTCCCTCCCGCTCTCTATTTTTTATTCACTCTCTTCCTCTCTATCTCCTTCCTTCCCGCTCTCTATCTTTTACTCACTATCTTCCTCTCTCTCATTCCCTCCCGCTCTCTATCTTTTATTCACTCTCTTCCTCTCTCTCATTCCCTCCCGCTCTCTATCTTTTATTCACTCTCTTCCTCTCTCTTTTTCCATTTCTCTCTATCTATGCCTCCCTCTCTAATGATCAATCTATAGTTAGACATATGACATGAATAGCACGAGTCGCACATATAGACATATCGCAGCTATATGATACGAAAAGCTAACGCATTATAAGCTCTTAATAAAACTAGCATAACCTCGACGGTGTCACCAACACCCAGCGGGCACGCTGATGATTCTCATACGGGTCAGCAGGACGTGCGTGACCCAGGCACGTCTGACGTGCGTCTGACGTGTACGTGTGTGACCCCGCCGCGTACCGCCGCTGCTGCTCCGTGCTGCATCGCTGCGTCGGCACATAACGGCGGTCACGGCGGGCGTCTGCCGTCACATCACCAGGTGAGCAGTCAGCGACACACACCTACCAAGCAGCGCTCTCCTCCGCCTCGTCGCGAAGAGAGAGAGAGATATAGATACACAGCGAGAAGGAGTCACTATGTCAGGTAAGCACGAAGTTCGAAGCTCGAATCCTAACGTTATCAAGAGCTAATAATCATACAGGTATTATTAGCTGTCTTGACGTTATGTATGTAATCAGTGCTGACTTACTGCGGCTAGCAGAAAGCATTCGGTGGTAGGTTACTTGTACTCGCGTGGAGACATGAGTGGGTAGTAGCTTTAAAACACCTGGGTGATCGTTTCATTATTGTTAGTTTCAACAGTCTTTTAACAAGAGAGCTCGAATGCGTTCTCGATCGAGTCAACACAGTCGCACTTGAAACTAGGTGAAATTTGTTGAAATTTTTTTGGTTGATCATTAAAACGCGTTGAAATCTACTGGAATTCTCGTGGTTGAAGGGCGTTGAAATCTATTGGAATGTTCGTGGTTGAACCGCCTTGAAATCTATTGGAATGCTCGTGGTTGAACCGCCTTGAAATCTATTGGAATTCTCGTAGTTGAAACGCGTTGAAATCTATTGGAATTTTGGTGGTTGAAGCCCGTTGAAATCGATTGGGAATTCTTGTAGTTAAAACTGTTGGTTGCTTTCGTCGCTGAAATGAAGTGTACCAGAATTATAGTGTATAAAATATATCGTATGGAAATGAAAGCGATTAAAGTAATTGTTCTGTAAGCGCGATCGATTGCTATTGTTTTTATTGTTCTAAGCACGTAAGGGACCTATGAGTCATGGAAATTCCCACGCTTGCGAAAAATGCCGTGTTAAAGCGCTCAGCTAATTTTCTAATTTGATGTTTACGAGTAGTCGTGTATAGGCTGCGAAGTTTGAGTTACCAACTTACCACAATAACGTGCACCGGCTTATTATCAACTAATGCCGATCGCTTTACAAACGATCGAAGACACCGCAGAAGTAACCGCAGTTTTTGATGATATTCTGATTTAGTTTTTGGCTCCAGTAAATCATTTAGTAGGTTGCTGTGTCAAATCCCAGTCGCGTGCTATAAAACGTTGTGTGAAGGTAGCGGAGACGGCTGAGTTACAATCATATTATGTCTTCAGAAATACTTACCTCTATCTCATGTATAATGGGTCTATTTACCTTGTGTTGCCCGATTTCACGTCGCTATCATAATGTAATGTGCTATTTTTGTGTGTTTTAGGAATACGAGAGATCATATTGTTGGCACTGGTGAGTTTATGTGGCTAACGCAACTTTCTAATCGCACCGCATTCATAAATGCCAATAAAAGGCTTTTAACCACTCCCGCATCTCCTGCCAAGTTCTCCCAAGAGTTTTATTGAGGAAGCGTTGATATTGACACTAAAATGTCTCTCTCTCTCTCTCTCTCTCACACACACACACTTTCCGCACACCCCGCGCACTTCTGGTCAGGCCATTGAACCCGCGAACACAGCTGGGACAAGAGATAGAGAGAGAGAGAGAGAGAACAAGAGAGAGAGAGAGAAAGAGAGGGCGAGAGATAGAGAGAGTCATTATGACAAATTGTCATTATTAACCCCTGATATGATGAATAGCGCTAATGAAATGCTAGAATGGTTGGTGCGCTCGTGCTAAGGTGCATGAAGTGAGACGGGAGAGAGTGAGAGACACACGTAGTGCACTCATAGTAACGTCGCTTCCTCCACAGCCGCGCGCGCTCTCTCTCTCTCTCTCTCTCTCTCTCTCTCTCTCTCTCTCTATCTCTCT